CTATGACTTAGCAGGTATTCAGTAAATGCTTGTGAATGAATGAATGAATGAGTGAATGTGAAGCTCACATGTCTGGCTGAAAGCTGCCACTTCCTTCATGTGATTAAGTCAAAACCAAAGGGGCTGATTTGAATTCTATGATCAATTTATCATCAATGTGTCAATACAAGCAGAATTAATTATCGTTTCTGCACATCTAAGTAGAAGAGAAAAAAAATTAAATAAGGTGCATGGAACCCTTGTGGGAGTGGTACCATGCAGATAAGGTGTGTGGAACCCTAACAAGGGGATTGGTCAGTTTTGCTACTCTGCTAGGTTTAAAGGGAGCTGTCTTAGTTATCTAGTGTAGCTATTACAGAAATATCACAAGTGGATGGCTTTAAAACACAGAAATTTACTTCTCACAGTTTAAGAGGCTAGAAGTCCAAATTCATGGCACTGGCTCTAGGGGAAGTCTTTTTCTCTCTGTGGGCTCTGGAAGAAGGTCCTTGTCTCTTCAGCTTCTGTTTCCTGGTTCCTTGGAGATGTCCATGTGGCTTGGCATCAATCTTCCCCCATCTCTACTTGCTTAATCTGCTCATATTACATCCTATAAGAGAGATTGACTCAAGCTGCACCCTACACTAATCCTGCCTCATTGACGTAACAACCCATTCCCAAGTGGGATTATAACCACAGACATAGAGGTTAGGATTTACAATACATATTTTGGGGAGACACAGTTCAGTCAATAACAAGAATCAATCCCAGAGGCTAGGAGGGGGATCTCACTACCATCAAGATGAACAGCTGGGAGCAGATCATGTCTTTTGAACCAAGGGTCCCTGCACAGAGAATCTCCTAGACCCAGGAGACAGAGAGAGTTGTAACACCAGAGATGGCATGAGATGGCAAGAAGTGGTGGCAAGCATGGCAGAATTCAGCAGCAGAGAAACGGCATCAGCAGAACCAGGAGACCAGTGCAAGATTGCACAGTAGGCTTCCTGGCCCATGGAGTGAGGTGGCTACAGTGGGCGTGCCGACCCACAGAGCAAGAGAGCTGAGCACCTTCAGGCAGGATGCTTGTTGGCAGAGTCGGGTGCCTGTGGGCACTTATTGGCATAGCTAAAGAAACACTTGCCCACGCAGGGCAGAAGCCAGGCCGAGGCACCAAAGGGCCAAGGGATCAAGGAGCCGAGGGGCTGAGGGGCCAAGAGCCAAGAGAAGTTGTCTTGATCAAAGAACTGTATCCTGAGTCATACCTGATCTTGAATTGTAATTTGTTACTTCCTTAATAAATCTCATAACTGGGAATATGGTCTATGAGTTCTGTGTGGCCATTGCAAGGAATTACTGAACCTAGTAGGGAAGTAGAGGGTGCCATGGAAGGGATGGCTGGTGACAGAATTGGTGACAAGGTTGGAGAGAGGAGGTATGTCTGACCTCCACCTCGTAGGAATCAACCTTGGGCTGATACTGCTCTTGATTCTCTCTCCTTCCCCTGAAGTTAAACTGGGTCTGGTGCCACCACACCATTTTTGCATCCAGTGATAGGTACTATTTTCCCAGTCGTTGTTTTTAAAGGCATTTATGTTTATATATACACAATTTTCATAGATATAATCATATATAGTTTTGTAGTCTGATTTTTTACTTTTTGTTATATCCCTTAAAATCTTTTTAAAAACACGCTTGCTAGTTGGCCTTATACTGTTCCATTATATGGAGAGACCATAATTTGTTATTGGATATTTAAAGTCTGTCATTCTTGCTACTATAAATAATGTTGTAATGAAAATCTTTCTATGTAAATATTTGTGAGCATGATTTTCAATGCACCATCTGTCCCTTGGAGCCCCTTGATTGGTGACATACACCTGTAATAACTGACATTTGACATGGGGAACTGAAGCTGTGCAGCTAGAACTTGTCAAGAAGACAAATAGGGTAGCAGTGGCCTGCCTCACATTCGTAAACAGGTGCGATACAAATATAATTTTGCAGGCCAATTGTTTGGTCAGAAACTTGCTGCCTCATTGATTCCACACATGATGTATTAAAAAACAAAAACAAAGGTGACCTTAGAGAGAGCCAGACATTTAGAATCCAATTAATCAAGCTCCAGGGTACTTTGTTGCCCAATACCAACCAGAAACATCATGACCTGCCAGATTCTTGTTACCATCAGGATTTAGGGAGGGATATGTGGATTAGATTTCGTTTATGGGTGCTCTTTTGGGAATAACATAGAAGCTCAATATTTAAAATTAAGAAATGTTGATTGTGGGAGTAGAAGGTTTTTACAGAAAAAGAACAAAACAATAACGTATTCTAGAATTTAGAGAGCTTTACCGAAGGCTACCTAGAAAGAGAAAACCTTTAGTTAAACTTGAATGTCACCTCACCAGAGGACGGGAATTTGAAATTATAGTCATAGAGCTGTGCTTGTGTCTCTGCATCCAGGCCGTCTAGGATATTTAACATGTCTATTCATAAAATTCTTTAAACTGGGAGTATCATTTATTTTGGCAATATCTTGCCTGTGGAACCAACAAAAATTAAAATACATATTTAAAAAAAGATCTGAGTTGGTTTCCAGTTACTTAAACTGCAAGCATAAGTACTTAGTTTTCATCTCTAGTAGACTAAGAGGATAAAGCTTCTACCTTTGCTCTAGAATTTATTTAATCTTCTAGGACTGAGTTGGCAATTTTAAGTCCAAATTCCAGGTATTTAATACGTTTCAGTTCTGCTCTCTGCTTCATGATGATAATCTTACCACTAGCTCTTAACACTTGTACTAAATTGCTATATTAATATGAGTGTGAAAGATTTAACTGGTAAATGGTATGCAGATTAACCTAATGCAGACTTTAATGGACTAGTGCACTCAAAAAAATTATTTAAAACAAAGGTAGCTGAAGTGGTAGAAAGACCAATTAACCACCATTAAAAGGAAAGATTGCTATAAGTAAAAGAATATAAAATACTTGAAAGAAATATGACTGATGTTAATCAAACAATATGAATGCAATAGTTTGAATAACCCATTTATTATACTATGGGTTGTAAATAGGGAGAATTTTTTTTTCCAATCACAGCTTTCACTATGTTCCGTCAAATTCCATTTTTCTCTCCCTTTAATTAAATCTGGGACCAATCTCATACTTTTCTGTCAGTTTCCTTAGGGTAGTCATTTGGTTTATTCCTAACCCAAGAACTCCCTGTGATGGGGCACCTCTTTTCTATGGTTTCCAGAGGCTCATGTCTCAGACTTGGGATAGCCTCAGAGCTCCTGCCTTTCCTCCACTCTGTATACCTTCAAGCAGAGGCACAGGCACCTCCAAATTTCTCCATTCCTTTGACGGACCTTGGGACTCAAATGGAGAAAGGGCTGCAAGGGAGAATTGCCCCCACCACCCACACCCACCCCATGGAACAACCCCTCCCAGGAACTCCTCCAGCATTCTTCTCTCCAATGATAGCTCTAAGATTCCACAGCACCCAGCTAGCGAGGGTGGCATCTGTACATCCTGGTTGCAGGCACCCCCATAACCTACAAATAATTGTCTTGGGGTTTCAGTCGCCCGGCTTTAGTGGATACTTTCAGCATCCTCCTCCTTCTGACCAAAGGAGGAAAAGGACTTACCTCTCACTTGTAGACACTGTGTTTATGCAGCTGCTTGCAGATTCCCAGGGTTCTCTGCCTCCTCTAGTCCTGTTTCATAGCCTGGAAAGTTGCGGGGCTGGTATGAGAGTTGAGTACAGCAGAACCCATACATTGCTGAGGAAATTTTCTTGACCCAATTGGGTAAGGTTTTAATTGAAGATTCAATCACTAAATCAGGTTAGTTGCTGGGTGAGTCCTTCTCTAAACTAGGGATTCTCAAAGTGTGGTTTCCTGATCAGCAGTATCAGCATCACCTGGGAAATTGTTAGAACTATAAATTCTCAGGCCCTACCTCGGGCCTCTGAGTCAGAAACTGGGCATAAGTCCCAGGCATCTGTATTAACAAGCCCTCCAGGTGATTCTGATGCAAGCTAATATTTGGAACCACTGTTCCAAAGACCACCCCGTTCCCCAATTCAAAATGACATCCTGGCCTCTCTAAGAAATGAGTGTCTATCTGGTATGGTCTAAATAAGAAAGATCTAATTTAGTCTAAAAATTCTTCCTTCAAAATTCTCTGACCATGTTTCTTCTATCACATACTTCAGCTTAAAAGTTTCGTGATGAACTTAAGCCAAGGCAAAGAGACTCTCTTTCCTCCTACCTGAGAGAATGGAACTCCAGGAGTTTATTCTTCACTACTTTAAACAAGTAATTTCCACTTGAGTCTGATCATCGTCACAGTGATGCTTATTATTACAGGATATTTCCTTGCATACAATGACACTTAAAAGTGGAATTTACCCTTCCCTACATCATTTTTTTTCCATAGCACTTATCACCACCAAATAGCCTATATATTTAACATACTTATTTTATTTATTGTATGTCTTCCCCCACATAAATACGAGTTTCCTGAAGGAAAGAATTTTTGTGTTTTATTCACTGCTGATTCCCCAGCACCTGAAAAGGACTTGGCACAATGTAGACACTCAGGAATTATTTATTGAATGAATGCAAGGAGGTTGTTTTACAAGCTGTTGTAGATTTCTATGTTTATTGAATAATTAAATAATATTTATGGTTTTTGTTCTTATTTATAATTGTGAGAATGCTTAATACCATAGGCTTCATAAGGTCCTCAAAAGCCCCATCATTTTAGTTCAATGTAGCTTAATCAGTGAACTAGAGAATTTACTAGGCTAATGTGAAAGTTATTGTGCTTCAGGGAGGGTTGGGCTGGAACTGGACTGGGAAGGCTACGATGGGAGTAAGGGGGGAATAACTATGTGAAACCAACACAGAAGAATTCCTGTCAGTAACTTCTGGACATGTCAATCTGCTGTTTTAACAAGAATGCCTGACAGTAGGGATTATAGTTGGATAGTAAATCTGTTTATCAGTAATTGTGTTAGGTCAAACACCTCCCAGGATGCAATATTTCCAGCTTTCTCTTGGCACATTTTACAGCTCCCACTTCACAGATGTTCAATGTTTTCTCACTTGTTGATGATCCCATTGTGACGCAGTAGAGTTGGTTTCCACCTTTGAAGCACTGGGAAGGCAATAGGCAGATACATTTGGAAGTGGAGGCTGCAAAGGAAGAGAAGACAGGATGATTCATCACAGTGCTTTAGGGTTTGGTTTCACCTAACTCCTCCCCAGAGTGGTGAGCTCCTTGGTGGCAATGAATGAAAAAGGTGAAAGAAAGGCAACAGCCCCCAAATCCCAACTGAGGATGAACGGAGTGATCTGGATATAGGACAGCAGAATGCACTAATAAACCAGTCAATTACTATCTCCTGTCAACTTCGTTTCCACAATGTCTTAAGTCTTTTCTTTTCTGTCTTTTCTCATTGGCCCTGTCTTAGTATGTTTATAGTTATTTTTTATTGAGCACAGGGGCAGATTATCCAATACCAAGGTAAACACGGTGCTTACCTTGCTTACCAGATCATCTGTAGTGAACAATTTTGTATATTTTTTCACCATATCAAAGATTCTGCTTCTAAGTATGGCTGGCAGCTGTCTCTCTCCCAACCCCGCAACACCTTCCTACAGAATCAAAGCCTCTTTTCAAATTAACAATCTCTGACAGGGATGGATTACCTACTAAGGAAGGTAAGTACAGGTTTACTTGTGCTTACTTACTAATCTGTAGTGACCAATTTCACAGGAGTTTCTGGTTGTGAGAAGAACCAAAAACATATTTTAAATTATTTAAATAAAAACTCTACTTAAAAATATCTATGTTTCAATTTGATTACCCCAAGACATTATGCTAATTTCAACAATATTGGTTAAGTATTTAAACTTTTTATTATCCTTTTTTCAGACAAACTTAAGAGTCCTGGAGTCTGTAGGGATTTAGATATATGTACAGTAAAGGGGTGATAGTAAAGGCAGATATTTTCATGAAATTGTAAGCCACATATTATCTTTCAGTCAGATTTGAAAAGAATAATTCATGGGAAAACAGCAGAAAAAAATGTTTTGCAATAGAAGAGCTCCTTGAAGACCTTTTATCCACAATAAATGAGAAAGAATGGAAGCAACTCACTAACACATCCCCAAATACTTGACCTACCTATTGTAGTATATTCAGGGATCATTTTTATCCTCCCTGCTGTTCAAAATCCTGTTATTTTCTGTATGTATTTTTGATAATAGTGTTCTCACAGTTGCAATTCCCAGATCAAAAGGTTATATTTTAAGAACAAAATGTTGTACATTTTCAGCTATTTTCTACCACAAATTATTGTTTCTGGGAGAGATGCCAGTTGGGTAATGGTGTTGGTCAAGCATCATTAAAAAAAAAAAAAGGAATAGTTTTTATCTACAAGATAATACCAGTCAGAATTAAGCAACTTATACATTGGGCCCTGTGTGGTATGAAGGCTGGAAGCCTCAGATGTTGACCTCCTGGTTTGTTGCCATCAGATGTGGCTTGCTGACTATGCCTGCTGTGTCCACCCTCTGTCATGAGTTCAATCCTGTGACCTCTCAAGGGAAATGGATCCTGATGATCAACTTTAAGTGGATCAGGAAGGAGCTGGACTTGGGTCATAAGACATCTCTCCTCTCCAGGACTAAGCTCAAGAACATTGGGTTGGAAAGCGAAAGAAGAGTCAAGTGGAACAATAATGGTTGTGTCTTTGTTTTTGCAAAAGTAAGATGGTTTTTAGCAAAAGTTAGAGTAACAATTCAGTAAGTTCCCATTGCATACTTTCTGCTCTGATTTAAGATAATTTCTGAAAATGTGTTACAAGAGAAATCTAGCTGCCTATCTGGATTTTGTTAAATCCTAGTTTCTAACCCACCTTTGTGTATTGTACGAAGCTTATTTAGGCTAATTCAGAGTCATACTTCATTTTAGAGCAAATGCACTTCTGTGATGTTCCTGCATCCAAGCAATTCACAAATGAAATACCAATAGCCAATAAATTATGAAAAATGGAAATGTAGTGTCACTCTTAGTTATCGAGTTGGCAGAGATAGACTGATAACTTCCAAGTTTGGTGAGAGTGTAAGTGGGCAGGCCACTATCGTATATTGTAGGTAGGAATATAATATGGTAAAAACATTTCTGCAGAGCAAGTTGATACCTTGTATCAACAAAATTTTATTTTTAAATATATGTTTTTAAAAATATATATTAATATATTTTAAAATACAAAAATAAATATATTCTAAAATAACTTTTACCTTGAGTTCCATTTTCTAGAGTAATCCTAAGGAGATAATCTAAGATTATAAATTTATCTGTGATGGATTTATATCTATCAAAACTGATTATAATAGCAAAATGTGGGGAAAAATTCAAATGCCTAACAGTATTAGTTAAATAAATCACAGAAAATCCATGTGGACTTTTCCCAGACATTGAAAATGATGTGACAGAAAAATACACAATGACATTGAAATAGTTACATGATGCATTAAGTACAAAAAGGTCATATAAAAATAGCAAGTAGTTTGCCACTCCATATTATTTTTTGAGAATCTGTGTTATACGCATGGTCACCCCTGAGATGTGTATGGTCCCTGGCAAAGTTTTTTATGGGCTTCTGTTTATATAAACAATTTGAGTCCCTTCCAATCTTATTAAGGTAGTTATCTCTAATTGCGGACAGGTCACATTTTTCTTTCTGTTTAAATCATTTTATAAATTTTTTTTTCCAATGAAAAGGAATTATTTTTAATTAATGAAAAGTAATTTTTAAGAAGATTATGTATATATGCAAATAAGACATATTAGCTGGGCTGAAGTTTAAGCAAGACCATTTCTATTATAGTATGTGGCCAGTCCCGGAGCTTACCTAAACATTTTTCCCAGTCATAGCAGGTATCGTAACCACAGGATTCTTTCTTTGTGCTATCGGATGAAAGTTTTACCCTTTCAAGACCCCATTCTAACTGTGGACCATCTTGGCAGGAACCAATATGTAGAAAATGCAGTTGTTGGTTATTTAAACATTTCTCTGCCGACAACTCACAAGCAGATGAAGTAAAGTGATGGCCAGAGGCTGTATCAAACACGCAGAGGTCTTCTGAGTAAGAGCTGTCCAAGAGAGGAAAGCAAGTATTTACACATGAAGATCAGAAAAAAAAGAAAGGGTATATAACCAATTGGTTATGTTAACTTACCACTTTTCTTTTCCCATTCTTTTTTCCTTAAACCAATCTCTCTCTCTTTTTTCATAATAGCAAAGGTAATATCTGTGCCCTTTCTTTCACCTCAAAGTATTAGATAACTGTTACTAAGAGTGAAGAAGGCCCAGGGTCATATCCTCTAAGGTTGCAAATGGCAATTTGACAGTTTCATTAATAAGAATCCCAAAGCCTGAATCTTCTGGACAGCAGCACTAAGAATTTACTTATCTTTTTTTTTTTTTAAACTGTACTTTAGATGAAGGTTTACAGAACAAACTAGCTTCTCATTAAACAGTACACATATTGTTTTGTGACATTGGTTACCAACCCCACGACATGTTAACACTCTCCCTTCTTGACCTTGGGTTCCCTATTACCAGCTTTCCTGTCCCCTCCTGCCTTCTAGTCCTTGCCCCTGGGCTGATGTGCCTCATTAGCCCCGTTTTGTTTTATGGGCCTGTCTAATCTTTGGCTGAAGGGTAAACCTCGGGAGTAACTTCATTACTGAGCTAAAAGGGTGTCCAGGGACCGTACTCTCTAGGTTTCTCTAGTCTCTGTCAAGTCAGTAAATCTAGTCTTTTTTTGTGAGTTAGAATTTTATTCTACATTTTTCTCCAGCTCTGTCCGGGACCCTTTATTGTGATCCCTGTCAGACCAGCCGGTGGTAGTAGCCAGGCACCATCTAGTTGTACTGGACTCAGTCTGGTGGAGGCTGTAGTACTTGTGGTCCATTAGTCATTTGGACTAGTCATTCCCTTGTGTATTTAGTTTTCTTCATTCTCCCTTGCTCCTGAAAGGGTGAGACCAGTGGAATATCTTAGATAACTGCTCACAAGCTTTTAAGATCCCAGGTGCTACTCACCAAAGTAGAATGCAGAGTATTTTCTTTATAAACTATGGTATGCCAACTGAGCTAGATGTTCCCTGAGACTATGGTCCCCACAGCCCTTAGCCCAGTAATTTGGTCCCTCAGGGAGTTTAGATGTGTCTATGACCTTGCCTTGGACAGGCTGTGCTGGCTTCCCCAGTACTGTGTACTGTCTTACCCTTCACCACAATTACCACTTTGCTATTGTCTGTTTAGTGTTTTTCCATCCCCATCCCTTCCCTCCCTCATAACCATCAAAGATTGTTTCTTTTTGTGTGTAAACCTTTTCATGACTTTTTATAGTAGTGGTCTCATACAATATTTGTCCTTTTGTATTGACTTATTTAACTCAGCACAATGTCCTCCACATTCATCCATGTTGTGAGATGCTTCGCAGATTCATCATTGTTCTTTATCGTTGCGTAGTACTCCATTGTGTGTATGTACCATAGTTTGTTTATCCATTCATCTGTTGATAGGCATCTAGGTTGTTTCCATCTTTTTTGCTATTGTGAACAATGCTGCAATGAACATGAATGTGATGGCTCTTATTTCTCTAGGATATATTCCTAGGAGTGGGATTATTGGATCATTTGGTATTTCTATTTCTAGCTTTCTAAGGAAGCACCATATCATTTTCCAAAGTGGTTGTACCATTTTGCATTCCCACCAGCAATGCATAAGAGTTCCGATCTCCCCACAGCCTCTCCAATATTTGTTATTTTCTGTTTTTTTTGATTCATGCCAGTAATGCTGGGGTGAGACAGTATCTCACTGTTTTGATTTGTATTTCTCTAATGTCTAGTGAACATGAGCATTTCCTCATGTGTCTGTTGGCCACTTGAATGTCTTCTTTGGTGAAGTGTCTGTTCATTTCCTGTGTGCATTTTTTAATTGGATTATTTGTTTTTTTGTTGTAGAGGTATTGGATTTTCCTGTAGATTTTAGAGATTAGACCTTTGTCAGATTTGTCATAGCCAATTTTTTTTTCCAAGTCTGTAGGTCCTCTTTTTATTCTTTTAGTGAAGTCTTTTGATGGGCCTAAATGTTTAATTTTTAGAAGATTCCAGTTATCTAGTTTATCTTCTGGAGTTTGTGTATTTTTAATTATGGTTTGTATCCTGTTAATACCGTTTATTAGGACCTCTAGCATTGATCCTGTTTTTTCTTCTATGACCTTACAGTTTTTGGTTTCATATTTAGGTCTCTGATCCATTTTGAATTAGTTTTTGTGTATGGTGTGAGGTATGGATCCTGTTTCATCTTTTTTGCTAGTGGACATCCCAATATCTCTTTTTTTAATCCTTCCATTTCATCCTCCATGCTGCCTGGGATTTATTTTTCTAAAACTTCATTTTAATCTTTAACTCCCAAATTAAAGTCTGAATTATTAATTTTTTTTTGAGAGACAACTGTTTTTATTTTTGTTAATCATACTGTTGGTTTGCATGTATGATAGGTTTCTTTAAAAGACATTTTATCATTTCGTTAATAAGTTTTGTGTAATTTTTTCCATGGCATTAAATATTTTTACATTATCATGTTAATGAAGAGATTTGGTAGTGGAATGATTAAGCACACAGCTGCTAACCAAAAGCCTGGTGGTTTAACCTACCCAGCTGCTCTGTGGGAGAAAGACCTGGCAGTCAATCTCCATAAAGATTACAGCGTAGAAAAACCTATGGGCAGTTCTACTCTGTCACATGGGGTCGCAGAGTCAAAATCTTCTTGACTGCACCTAACAACAATAGCATCATCATGTTAAAACCAAAAAAACCAAACCCATTGCTGTCGAGTCAATTCTGACTCATAGCAACCCTATAGGACCATGGCTTGTGTCAAGCTCACCTTAGTTCTTAAAGTGACATCTTTGCTTTTTAACACTTTAAGAGGTCTTTCACAGTAGATTTGCCCAATGCAATCTGTCTTTTGATTTCTTTTTTAAAATTTTTTTTTATTGTACTTTAGATGAAGGTTTACAGAACAAATAGTTTCTTATTAAACAGTCAGTACACATACTGTTTTACGACATTGGTTAACAACCCCACATGTCACCACTCTCCCTTCTCGACCTTGGAGGACCTTTTTTTTGGTGAAAATATGCATAGCCAAAGTTACACCATTTCAAAAGTTTCCACATGTACAGTTCAGTGACATCAATTACATTCTTCCAGTTGTGCTGCTATTCTCACTATCCTTTTCCAAATTATTCCATCACCATTATCTTCAACTCGCTGCCCCCTAGGCTTCCCATCAAACCTTTTGAGTTGCTGTTGTCAATTTGATCTCACATAGATAATTCTTCTTCTTTTTTTTTTTGTACCTTAGATGAAGATTTGCAGAACAAATAGTTTCTCATTATACAGTTAGTACACATATTGCCCTATGACAATAGTTAACCCCACGACATGTCAACAGTGTCCCTTCTCAAACTTGGGTTTCCTATCACCAGCTTTCTTGTCCCCTCTTGCCTTCAAGTCCTTATCCCTGGACTGCTGTGCCTCATTAGTCCCATTTTGTTTTATGGGGCTGTCCAATCCCCAGCTGAACAGTGAACCTCAGGAGTAATTCACCACTCAGCTAAAAGGGTGTCCAGGGACCATACTCTCGGGTTTTCTCCAGTCTGTCAGGCCAGTAAATCTGGTCTTTTTTTGTGATTTAGAAGTTTGCTCTACATCCTTCTCCAGCTCTGTCCAGGACCCTCTATTGTGATCTCTGTCAGATCAGTCAGTGGTGGTAGCTGGGCGCCATCTAGCTGTACTGGACTCAGTCTGGTGGAGGCTGTGGAAGCTGTGGTCCATTAGTCCTTTGGACTAATCTTTTCCTTTTATCTTGTTCTCTTCATTCTCTTTTGCTCCCGAAGCGGTGAGACCAGTGGAGTATCTTAGATGGCTCCACACAGGCTTTTAAGACCCCAGACGCTACTCACCAAGGTAGAATGTAGAACATTGTCTTTATAAACTGTGTTATGCCAATTGAGCTACATGTTCCCTGAGATCATGGTCCCCTCAGCCCTCCAGCCAGCAATTCAGTCCTTCAGGGAGTTTGGGTGTGTCTATGGAGCTTCCATGACCTTTCCTTGCACAAGTTGTGCTGGCTTCCCCCGTATTGTGTACTGTCTTACCCTTCTCCAAAGTTACCACTTATCTATTGTCTCTTTAGTTCCCCCCGCACCCTTCCCATCCCTTGTAACCAGCAAAGATTGTTTCTTTTTGTGTGTGAACTTTTACATGAGTTTTTACAGTAGAAGTCTCATACAATATTTGTCCTTTTGTGATTGCCTTATTTCACCATAATGTCCTCCAGTTGATCCATGTTATGAGATGCTTCACAGATTCATCAGTTCTTTGTCGTTGCATAATACTCCATTGTGTGTATGTACCATAAGTTGTCTATCCATTCATCTGTTGATGGGTATCGAGGTTGTTTCCATCTTTTTGCTATTGTGAACAATGCTGCAATGAACATGGGTGTGCATATTTCTGTTTGTGTGACGGCTCTTATTTCTCTCAGATATATTCCTAGGAGTGGGATTGCTGGATTGTATGGTATTTCTATTTCTAGCATTCTAAGGAAGCACCACATCATTTTCCAAAATACTTGTATCATTATGCATTCCCACCAACAGTGCGTAAGAGTTCCGATCTCCCCATAACCTCTCCAACATTTGTTATTTCCAGTGTTTTTGATTCGTGCCAGTAGTGCTAGGGTGAGATGGTATCTCACTGTGGTTTTAATTTGCATTTCTCTAATGGCTAGTGATTGCGAGCATTTCTCATGTGTCTGTTGGCCACTTGAATGTCTTCTCTGGTGAAGTGTCTGTTCATTTCCTTTGCCCATTTTTTAATTGGATTATTTGTCTTTTTGTTGTAGAGGTGTTGGATTTTCCTGTAGATTTTAGAGATTAGACCTTTGTCGGATTTATCATAGCCAAATTTTTTTTTCCCAGTCTGTAGGTCCTCTTTTTACTCTTTTAATGAAGTCTTTTGATGAGCAGAAGTGTTTAATTTTTAGAAGATCCCAGTTATCTAGCTTATTTTCTGGAGTTTGTGTGCTGTTGGTTATGGTTGGTATCCTGTTAATGCTATGCGTTCGGGCCTCTAGCATTGGTCCTATTTTTTCTTCTATGAACTTTACAGTTTTTGGCTTTACATTCAGGTCTTTGATCCATTTTGAATTAGTTTTTGTGTGTGGTGTGAGGTATGGGTCCTGTTTCATTTTTTTGCGGATGAACATCCAGTTTTGCCAGCACCATTTGTTAAGAAGACTGTCTTTTCCCCATCTGATGGATAAAGTCTGAATTCTTAAACTCTGGTAATCAAGATCTTCCATAAATTGGTTGCAGTTGACTTCCTTCCCAGTGCTATTTCTCATCTTCCTAAAACCCTCCTCATCACCTGACAATTGTATTTATCATTTACTAACCTGAAAAAAGGAGTCCCTGAATGAGACAAATGGTAAAGATTGGTGGTTCAAATTCACCCAGAGGTGCATCAAAAGAAACACCTGGTGATCTACTTCTGAAAGGTCACAGTCATTGAAAACCATAGACAGCAGTTCTACTCTGACACACATGGAGTAACCATGAGTTGAAATTGACTCGACAACTACTGTTTCTCTTCCTTTTTTTCTTTTTTAACATGAAAACACTATTCTTCCTTTGCTGCCATTTCATACCCTGTTCAGTCAGCAATGAATTCTTTCTCCTCTGCGTTCAGCTCAATTCTTGGCTACACCTTGAAGCTTTCTTTAATCAGCCTAGCCCATGATAGTCTGTACTTCCTCTGAACTATCTAACACTCACTGATTGCAGCATTAATTTAGAACGTGTCATATACAGTTTTATAACTTTTGAAGTGTGACCTTATTGTGATTAAGAGCATAAGCTTTGAAGTCATTCCCTAGGTGACCTACTTAATCTCTTAGTAGGTCCTACCACCAAGAGGTAACAAGTACTCATAGCCTTTCTCCTGTTGAGAGGACATGATCTTGGTTGCTTCAAACTTGTGTTTCTTCTCTGATGACAACTTTAGAGTCAATAATCAGTGCACCAGTGTGTAAGACTGTTTCCAGTAACTGGCCTCTAGAGCCCACAGCTGAGAACAAAAGACCGCTTTCTAAATTCAGAGAATCTAAGCTGTGGGTCCAGCCACTACACAAACTTCTCCAACTCAAAATAAAAGAGACCTGAGTTATACAGAAAGAGGCTACTGAGGTATGGCAAAGCTGAAAGAGGAGTTCCAGGGGGTAGTCTGTATTTCCACCATTTGGTATGTCAAAGATTAAGAAAATGATTTCCTCTGAATTAAGTGGACAACATGAAAAGCGTAGGTGTTCCCAAGAGGGCTATTTGCTGAATGAGGGACTCCAGCAACAAGAAGTTATGAGATAGACTGCTTGTACTGAATAGAACCCCCATCGGGTCGAATCCTTCCCATGTCAGTAGAATTATCAGAAAAAGACCCTTCTAGCATTCTCCAAAAAAACCAATAAATGTGTCTTTATAAGCATCTGTTCACCTATAGCACTGAAGAATATGAGAACATGATTTTAACATAATCAGTGTTAAAAGTGAAGCATCAACAGCTATGACCAAGTCTTTTGGCTTCCAATCCCATCATTCTCTATTTTTTTCCAACGTTTTTCAGGTGTACAATTTAGTGATATCAATTACTTTAATCAGGTTGTGCTATCATCGCCCATAATCATTGCCAAATTTCCTATCACCATAAACAGAAACTCACTGCTTACAAAACAATGACTCCCTCTTTTTGCCTCCCTACTGCCCCTGGTAAGGAGTACTCATGGCACAATGGTTAAGTTCTTGGCTACTAACTGAGAGTTTGGTGGTTCAAATCCACTCAGTGGCTTTGAGGAAGCAAGACCAGGTGATCTGCTTCCTTAAAGATTACCCATTGCTACTGAGTTGATTGCAACTCATAGTGACCCTATAGGATGGAGCAGAACAGCCCCATAGCGTTTCCAAACTGTAATTTTTACAGAAGCAGACCGCCACATCTTTCTCCTGCAGAGCGGCTGGTGGGTTCGAGTTGCTGAACTTTTGGCTGATTACTTTTAACCACTGCACCACCAGGGCTCCTTCCCATAGAGATTGCATCCCAGAAAACCCTATGGAGTAGGTCTACTCTGTCACATGGGGTCCTATGAGTCTAAATCGACTCGGTGGCACCTAACAACAACAACACCGCCCCTGTTAACCATTAATAAACTGTGGTCTCAGTATACTTGCCTGTTCTAGATATTTCATATAGGTGAGATATACAATATTTTTCCTTTTGTGATTGACTTATTTTACTCAGCATAATGTTTTCAAAGTTCATCCATGTTGTAGCATATATTAGGAGTTCGTTTTTCTTTAAGGCTGAGTAATTCTCCTTCCTCAGTAATTTGCCTCTAATTTTGTTCAGAGTAGCTGTGCATTCTGCCAAAGGATTGCATTTCACTGTGTGCCTTGCAGGCAGGTGTTGTTGTTAGGTGCCGTAGAGTTGGTGCCGACTCATAGCGACCCTGTATACAACAGAACAAAACACTGCCTGGTCCTGTATCATCCTCACAATCGTTGTTATGCTTGAGCCCATTGTTGCAGCCACTGTGCAGGTAGGTGTAGCCATGTGTATTAGTTTTCTAGGGCTGTCTTAGCAAAGTAACACAAACTGGATGGCTTAAAACAACAGAAATTCATTCTCTCACAGTTACTGAGGCTACAAGCCCAAAATCAAGATGTTTGCAGGGCCAAGCTCTCTCTGAAGATTCTATGGGAGGAATAATTCCTTGCCTCTTCTAATTTCTGGTAGTCCCAAACATTCCTTGGCTTGTAGACGCATCACTGTAATCTCTGCCGTTTCATCACATGGTGGTCTTCTCTTCATGCCTCTGTGTGTCTGTGTCTCTTCTCTTGTTATAAGGACACCAGTCATATTAGGTTAGGGCCCATCCTACACCAGTATGACTTCATGTAAACTTAACTAATTATATCTGCAATGACCCTGTTTCCAAATAAGGTCACATTCTGAGGTTCCAGGAAGAAGATGCATTTCAGGGGAGACTATTCTATCCAGTACACCATGTGAATAAGTGAAGGTTAATAAGATGGAAGCAGGTGATGGTTTTTCTGGGAAATCTTAAAAGAGAAGATGTGTCCATTTTCAGTTTTCCTTCTTTCCTGCTCCAGCAGAGCAATCTTGGACCATGAAATAACTTTAAAGATGGCAGAGTAGAGAGATGGAAAGACATTCAGTCCCACATGAAATGACAGAGTCACTTTACTAGCCTTAGATTTCTTACCTCTGCATTTATTTTGTGAGATAGAGACGCAAAATTTTATTTTAAGCTAATGATATTTTAGATTTGTCTGTTAAACTTAGCTGAAACTAGCTCTTAAGCAAACTTTCCACTCCTGGGTTTGTTCATGTAAAGAAAAGGCAGTTACACCAACAAACAGGAGATAGTAGTGACAGTCACATGAGGACGTGTCATCTTTCTTTTCCATGCTCTTTGCCGCAGCATGGAGGAATACACTGGTAAAGCTGTGTGTGTGTGTGTGTGTGTGTGTGTGTGTGTGTGTGTGTGTGTGAAGTCCACGCTGAAAACATTTTATTCCATTTCAAGATTTTTGAGTCATAAATTTGTTCTCTATTTAAAGGGGAAGAGCTTTGAGATAATTGAGTCTGGAGTTGTAAAATGGACAGGAATAAATCCTTATAGCCAAAATGGAACTGTTTTAATGAACAAAAGCCAAGCAAACTTAGGGACCCAGGCTGAAAGATAATTAAGAAAGCTTGCTACCCAGTGGTGAAGGAGGTATTCAACAGAGCACAGAGGTATCAGTCATGTGAAAAATTAATACGTTCCATGTTTGTGCATCAATAAGCTTAACTCCTCCACCAAGCTGGTTGCACTAGATTGGCTTTTCCAATTTCCAAACACAGTCCATAGGGTCTCTCTTACCTACAGTCTTCTGCTGGAGATATACAAATGCATTCAGATCCTGACTGTTTTTGTCCCAGTTGACAATGGCCCTGTAATTTTGTTAGAATATCTGAAACAAATTAAAAAAGATAAAAGAAAAGTACACAGCATGAATTCCACATGAGAAGCTTGAATTCAGGATGAGAAGGCAGTGGTGAAAGATCCTCATTTATCTCCTGGAGTTAGAGCACTCATTTTGGATTTTCTAAATATGTTGTCATGAAATATTCTGTTGGAAAAGTCCTTTCCAGTCCTCATGAGCTGTCATTTTCCAGCCTCAAATTGCCATTAAGTTCAGAAAACTAAAGAAAATGGAACTGGTGATATTTATGTTCATTTGCTTTTCAAATATGTATTGAGCACCTAAAATGTTTCTGGCACTGTGTTAGGTTCTGTGGATAGTGGATAGAGTGAAATCTGACCCAAACCCTGTGATCATAGACCTTACAGTCTTGTGGGGCAGATAGACGGTCATCAAACACAGTGATACAAATAGAATTGCTGCTGCTATTAGTGCAATTAAAGAGAAAGCATATAATCAAGAAAATTGATATAGCCAGAAAGGTTAGGAATGGTAAAATGGGGAGAAGGGAGAGTGTTCAAAGCAAAGAAAACATCAGATAAAACACACTCAAAAGAGAGGCAGCCTGTGACTTTCCTGGAACCATAAGGAGGCCAGTATGATTGAAGTACAGAGAAAGAAGAGCATGGACCAAGATGCAGCCAGAGAATAGGTGGCTGCCAGGCTGTGCAGGATCTTATAAGACATTTGAAGGATTTTTGACTTTATTTTGTAAACAGAGGAAAGTCTTTGATTGGTTTTAAGCAGAGGGTGGTGTGACAAATTCAGGTCTGGGTTTTGAAAAAGAAATCCATTATGGCTTTACCATGGAGAAGGCATGGTGATTTGGAGAGTCATGGTGGACAAGAGGGCCATGGGTAGAAAATCTATGAGGGTATTATAGTAGTTCAGGTGAAGGAGGATGGTAATTTGGACTAGAACCCAGTAACAACAATAAGAGTAGATCTATGAAACGGGAAACTTTGGTGGTCTTTGTTTACTGTTGAGGCCCACCCAGAGAACCTTGAGTGGCTAACCTAGAACCTAGTGCTGACCTCCCAAGCCTGTTGGATGACAGTAGACCTCCCGGGTTTGGATCCAATAACCACAGAACCAAAATGGCCTTGGTAAGCAAGTAATTGTCAGGAAGGGGCAGCAGGCAGGCTTTATTTAGATAGTCTGTTACATCAGATGGCAGAACAGGGTATTCAGCTCATAGTTTCTTCTATTAACCTACCAGGTAGAAAGTTTGATAGGGGAAGGAGATTTATGCTAGAGGCAAAAATAAAGATTTTAAAAATTGGTGGATTTTCTTCATTTCCTACAATTACTACCAGTTAGGACCCTCATTTCATATGGTGAAATTCAGCCCAGAACCTTCATTAACTTGGAGATCTGCAGCCTGTAAGACCTCAGGTACTAAGATTTACACTGACATGAGACTGATTTTCTTTTATGTGTGTGTAGCTATGCATTTTTGCCCTTTGTAAATAAATCCACACTTAGATCAGGGAGAGACTCCAAGCTATAAATTGTTTCTAAAGAGAATCAGCTTTCAAGTAGTAAAGAGCACCGCTCTGTCACTACTGTTTTGAAATTTTCAGTGATCACATGGAAGGAGCCTTTGTTTCCCCACTAATTGTTGAAACCTGAACTGACCCTCAGCTACCCCACACTCCTAGCAGTTTGCGAGTTACATATGAGTGAAAAGTGCTGAGGGCAAGGGGATCTTCTGAAGTGAGACTGGAGGTGCTAATTTCTCAGAAGAAAGAAGGAACTGTGGAGGCGTACAGTATCTCACTCCTGTAGAAAGCAACACTCTCTTTCACATTGAAAGAACTAAGAGTCTTTCCCTGGCCAAGCTACAGTCTGAAATTCTCTTCACCTCACTGTTCTCCACACATTGAAAAGAAAGAGTGTTCCGATCTATTATTTAGTTTCTCTTTCTATGACTCCCCTCACTGATCTTTAGTTCTGTTACTATTATAGGAGAGGAAGTAAATAACATAGGATATTTATCTCCTTTATCTAGATGTAAAACATTTCATATCTCAGTTTAGACTATAATTTAAATTTCTTTTCTGATCACAGAGGTGTGTGTGTGTGTGTGTGCACATGAGCTCACACACATGCACTATTATGTATATAAGGCACCCGAGGATCTTAACTCGTTGAAGCCTGCAGTTCCCCATCCCTCTGACACTTACCATCAGGCATCTAGTGAAAGCAAGATACAATATTAACCTGGAAAAGCTCTCAAGAGGTCCCTGTATCAATAGTTTCATTTAATGTTATGCAATACGTTAACTTCCCCCTTCCCTAAACATTTTATAAAAGCCCAGAAGAGAATAAAGAAGGCAACATGGCAAAGAGCTTGGAGGAATTAGCGAGCTGGTGTCTAGTCTCTGTTTGACTCAGACTGTGTAAGCTTACGTTTAATTTAGCCTCTCTGTACCTCCGGCTTTTCCGTAAGTAAAACAGGCCTAATGATACCTGATCTCAGCTACCTCCACAAGAATTCTCTGATTACAAAGCAGGTATTATTTGAGCAAGTACATTGAGAAATTTGGAAGATATGAATTAATAGAAGCTCTCATAACTCTCATCCAGTTAACTGTCTTGACAGATTAACTAGTGTTCTCCAGTACCCTTGTACGAGCTTCTGACTGTCTCACACTGAACTTTCAAAATTTATGGACTACTCTCTCATCCAGCATCACACTTCTGCCACCTGTTGAGCTGTATGTTTACCAAGGTCAGTTTTGTTTATTTCCAAATCTATTTATGCCTGCTACACTTGTTATTGGAGCCCTGGTGGTGCAGTGGTTAAGAGCTTGGCTGCTAACCAAAAGGTCAGCAGTTTGAATCTACCAGCTGCTCCTTGGAAACTCTGTGGGGCAGTTCTACTCCATTCTATAGGGTCCCTGTGAGTTGGAATCAACTCAACAGCAAATGCATTTGTTTTTTGGTTTATACTTGTTATTGTAATTGTATAAGCTGATTAAATATTAAATAAATTGACACAATATAGGAGGAAAAAGGAGTATTCTTATGACAACTAAGTTGAAAGCGCTGAACAATTTAATGAAGGTGATCAGCAAAAAATCTGTTTTGAATTAGTTGTGAATGGGACTTCTGTAAAAAATCAAGGAACAAAAGTATTTTATATTTTCTAGTCAGTTTGCTTCAAACGTGTCTTTAAGTTTTCAGCTCTCTTCATAATAATGGTTCTTAATTCTGGATGCACATTTGGATTAGCTAGAAGAGGCTTTAAACAAATATTGGGCCTTCCCCCAGCTCAATGAAATCAGAATCTGGGGGATGGCACCCTGGGCAGAGGTATTTTTTGAAAAAATGTCCCACCTGGAGTTAAAAACCATTGTTTCAGAGAAACTGATATGAGATAATATAGATGATGAGTTATGAGTGTGCTTTATTTGAGGAAGATGCTTTGAAATTCAAGTGAGGAGACTGCTCAGGAAATAAAAGCTGTTTGTCCTACGCTAGCAAATGGATGAATACCTGTTTCTACATTTTAGGCTAACATCAAATGCTTCATAATGTGCGTACTACTTTTTTAATACACAGATACACAGAGTCACTGTTCCAAAAAGAATTGGTTGATATTCAACTATTTCAGGAGGTAGCATATAAACAAGAACTGATGGTACTGAAGGAAGAAGTCCAAGTTGCACTGAAGACATTGGCAAAAAACAAGGCTCCAGGAACTGATGGAATGCCAATTGAGATGTTTCAACAAATGGATGCAGTGCTGGCGGTGCTCACTTGTCTATGCCAAGAAATTTGGAAGACAGTTACCTGGCCACACAACTGAAAGAGATCCATATTTGTGCCTATTCCAAAGAAAGGTGATCCAACAGAATGTAGAAATTATCGAACGATATTATTAATATCACACACAAGTAAAAGTTTGCTGAAGATAATTCTAAATGGTTGCAGCAGTACATCAACAGGGAACTGCCAGAAATTCAAGCTGGATTCAGAAGAGGAATGGAATGGGAGATATCATTGCTGATGTCACATGGATCTTGGCTAAAAGCAGAGAATACCAGAAAGATGTTTACCTGTGTTTTATTTACTATGCAAAGGCATTTGACTGTGTAGATCATAAATTATGGATAACATTGTGAAGAGTGGGAATTCTAGAACACTTAATAGTGCTCATGGGGAACCTGTACATAGACCAAGAGGCAGTCATTTCAACAGAACAAGGGGATATTGCATAGTTTAAAATCAGGAAAGGTATGTGTCAGGGTTGTATCCTTTCACTGTACTTATTCAATCTGTATGCTGAGCAAATAATACGAGAAGCTGGACTACATGAAGAAGAACATGGCATCAGGATTGGAGGCAGACTCATTTACAGCCTGCGATATGTGGATGACACATCCTTGCTTGCTGAAAGCAAAGAGGACTTGAGGCACTGGGATGAAGATAAAAGACTATAGCCTTCAGTATGGACTGTACCTCAACATAAAGAAAAAAAAAAATCCTCACAACTGGATCAGTAAGCAACATCATGATAAATGGAGAAAAGACTGAAGTTGTCATTTTACTTGGATCCACAATCAACACCCATGGAAGCAGCAGTCAAGAAATCAGACAATGCATTACACCGGGCAAATCTGCTTCAAAAGATCTGTTTAAAGTGTTAAAAAGCAAAGATGTCACTTTGAGGACTAAAGTGCACCTGCCCCAAGCCATGGTACTTTCAATTGCCTCATATGGATGTGGAAGCTAGACAATGAATAAGGAAAACTGAAGAAGAATTGATGCCTTTGAATTATGGTGTTGGTAAAGAATATTGAATATGCCATGGACTACCAGAAGAATGAATAAATCTGTCTTGGAAGAAGTACAACCAGAATGCTCCTTAAAAACAAGGATGGTAAGACTTAGTCTCACATACTTTGGACATGTTATCAGGAGGAACCAGTTCCTGGAGAAGGACATCATGCTGGTAAAGTAGATGATCAGCAAAAAAGAGGAAGACCTACAATGAGAGGGATTGACACAGTGGCTGCAACAATGGGCTCAAGCGTAACAACGATTGTGAGGATGGTGCAGGACCAGGCAGTGTTTCGTTCTGTTGTACATAAGGTTTGCTTTGAGTTGAAAATGACTCGACGGCATTTAGCAACTATAACACTTCTTTAATGGCTCTTCATCCACTTTATCCAAAATTTTTAGTTCACTATCAATTCTGATCTTGTTAGAAGAGAGCCGCTACATTCCTCAAAATACTGAAGTTTTATATTGGGAAGGAAAATTGAACTCACCCTCTAAAGACAAGAATTGAAAACATCAACTAGACCAATAACTCCCCATTTGCTGCCTTACCTCTTTAGTTACAGAAGATGAAATAATCTAGCCCTTCAGTAGAATCTTCTGGCTTCTCCCCAAAAACACACTTAAGAAATAACATCTCTGTAAGTGATATACTACCAGTCTTGCGGTGCACCCACCTCAGCAGATAGCAGAACCCTGAGCTGCTACTCACCTTTCTCACAGGTGAGTGAGTTTGAAATGGGTGGTGTCCAGGAATCCCCACTGCATGTGTAGTTTGATGGCCCAGCAACTACAAGGCCTTTGGGGCAGGTTAGCTCAATGGAGTCACCAATTTTATATACTCTTTCAAAGGGCGTGAGTGTGAGGACTTCTTGCAGAATTGGCTTTAGGCATCCTATCCCTGCAAGGAGAGAAACATTTCAGATGCGGAGCAGAATACTCAGGCAAATGAAGTTAGATTTTATGCAACCAAAGAGATGATTTTAGTGAGATTTACTGCATTCATTAAGCTGTAGTGCCTCCTTTTGATCAGAAAACCTGGGGGTTAAGGATCCCAGGGAGTTCCTGGGTGGTGAAAATAGTTAAGTGCTTGACCACTAGCCAAAAGGTTGGCAGTTGGATCACATCCAGAGGTGCCTGGGATTACATGCCTGGCTATTTGCTTCTGAAAGGTCACAACCTTGAAAACCCTGTGGAGCAGGTTTACTCTGCACACTTGGGGTCGCCATGAGTTGGAATTGACACTACGGCAAGTAATGACAACAACAAGGATCACAGGACTCTCCTCTGAAGTTCTTCCACTAAGAAACTCCCTTTAGTTCCATTATCTGAGGTTCCTTTTCTCAGAAACTGCCTCCCAACAGAATCAACTTTCGTTACATTAGTGGGGCCTTTTCTTTTCAAGAAATCAATGTCTTCCCTCTTCTGTCTAATGACTTTCCTCAAAAGCAAGTCACTATATTGTGGGTGACAGAGAGGGAGGATATTCTAATTGACTTGCGTCACAACTCTGTTTCATGGTACACTGTAATAGCTTTTTTGGGACCCTATTTGAGCTTCTTTGAATCTTGTTTTTGATTTTACTGTAACATGGGTATGCGCAAAGTTACAAGCTCTTGAGAGGAGAGATTTCTTTACTTGTCCTCAGCAAAGGAGGTGACTATGCTCCAAGGAGCGGTGCCTTGGAGAAAGCTGCATCTCACGAAAAACTCCATTTCTGATAAGTAAAGAGTGTAAGTATCATCTTCCTGGGACTCATCAACTTGTACCAATTTGTACAGCAGGCAAGGCAGATGTCTGTGGTTATATGAGGTTATTTGCAGACTTCCTGGATTTCTTTTTAAGTGCATACTTCTCAGCGCTGTGAGTATGAGGCTAAAAGACAGGGACAGGAGAACTGAAATATGAAGATATTTTGAAATCTAATTTTAGCAAAGGAGCCCTATTTTCTACTTCACTAAATCTTTTTACCAGAGTTACTGAAAAAATAGTAAAATGTACTGATCTAAGTGTATGACTGGGCTCTATTTATATTGGGCACATTCATTCTTTAGAGTAGTCACACCCAGTGTCTGCCCAGGTTCTCACGTTGGCATTGCACGTCTTCTTGCCTCCAGGTCTGGTCTGGTAAGCATCTGAAATACTGGTATCCAACAGTTTTGAATCCAGTAAAGCAGAAAATTTCAACTTCTTCCCCAACCGAGTACAGTTTCTTTGCATTCTAGAATTAAAGCAAAAACCAGCAAACTATTAATGCTATGAACAATGAAGTCAGAACACCTCAGGGTCATCCTGGTTTCTTTCTGTTCCTTCTCTCCTGTGTCTGTGCAGTCACAGAGTCCTGTCAAATTCTTCTTCTAAATATCTCTCAAGTTGTCTCCTTCCTTCCTGTGCCATCACCACTGCCTTTGTGCAGGGAATTTATCATCTCTTGCCAGAACAACTTCCTACCTTGTACCTCTTATTGTTAGAATCTTCCTCTTCAAATCCATCTTCCTTATCGCTGCTCTAAATTGATTAAGATATATTTTTACTTAAAGACTTCTTCCCACCTGCTTTGAATTGAATTATGTCCTTCCAAAAGATATGATGAAATCCTAAACAATGTATCTGTGAATGTGGCCTTGTTTGGAAATAGGATCTTTGAAGATGTGATTATTTAGGTTAGTATGAGGTCATCCTGGAATAGGGTGGGTCCTGATCTTATGTGACTAGTGTTCTTATAAAAGAGGAGAACAGATACATAGAGACAGAGTGATGAGGTCCATGTGAAGATGCATCTACAAGCCAAGGAATACCAAGGATTGCTGGTCATCACCCGAAACTAAGAGAGAGGCATGGAACAGCCCTTCTCAGAGCCCTCAGAAGGAATCAACATGACTGATACCCTAATTTTGGACTCCAGAAGTATAAGACAAAACATTACTCTTCTTTTAAACTATCTAGTTTGTGTTATTTTGTTACCTCAAACCTAGGAAATAAATACATTACCGTGTACAGGATGGTCTTAATCTGTGCTTCTCAACCTGTGGCCTACTATATCAAAAACAGCAAACTATATACCCAACAAGTAGTGGTTATAAATGGAATAAATAATGTATCCCACCATAACCAAACCAAATCAAACCAAACCCATTGCCATTGAGTCGATTCTGACTCGTAGCGACCCTATAAGACGAGTAGAACTGCCCCATACGGTATCCAAGGCTGTGATCTTTACGGAAGCAGACTGCCACATCTTTCTCCTGTGGAGTGGCTGGAGGTTCGAACTGTTAACCTTTTGGTTAGCAGCCAAGTGCACCATCAGGGCTCCTAATGTATCCAGTACGTACAGCAATTATATATAATTCCTATTGTGACTAACTGACTAAACATTGAAAAATGTCACTCAATTCCTAGTAACCTATTGATGATCAGGTAGTTTCTCAAGTAATGGATAATTAAAGTAAAACTACTGTCATTTGGGGGTTCACTAAAAATTTCAAGATAAAGTAGATCTTACTTAGCTTGGAATATTAGCTTTATTCTGCCTTACCATCCTCACCTCCTGCCTTTCCTCCCATAAAACCTATATTCTATCAGAAAATGAAAAATAAACCCACCTGCCATTTTTCGAGCATGTTATCCTGTTTCATGCTTCTGGGTATTTATCTGCCTCTTCCCTCTATCCTCAACACCTTCTTTTGCCTGGCCTGACAAAGTCATTCTGCAAATATGACTTCTTCTGTGAAAACCACCTTGACTTCTCCAACTTCATGAGATGAATCAACCTTTCAACTCTGGTGGCAACTTGGGTAAAGCTCTATTTTTACAGTGTTCTTTGCATTTATCAGTCCTACCCTTGACACTTGAATGGCAACTCAAGTACCAGGTCTCTGTCTCACAAGTCTTTGCTCAGTAACTGTCTGCTAAAAGGATGAAAGACACTATTATTCTTAGGGAGATAGTAATGCAATGCTCTTTTCGTTTACTGAGAAGAATTGACTAGGAAGTGATTTTCTCAGAATTGAAATCGGCAATTTTAGGGTAGGAGAAAACTCAGTCATTAACTTGTGCTGTTATTTGGCCACATAATTCGACTTGTCTCCTAGAAGATTCTTTCCTGAATACATAAAGACTATCCTATTATTGGTTATTACTGGTGTGGCTTTGTTTCCAAGGAAAAATGGAGTATGAGTGGTATTAATGATTGTGATGTTTTATTCAAAGGCTGTATGTATATTTTTTCTTGCACTACTCATGAAATTAAGTATTGCCTTAACCTTCTATTTCTATTTCTCTTATGAACTAACCTATAAGGGTATGTTACAACGCTTGAGTTTAGACCGACACATTCTGCTGGACTGACTAAATAAGGAAAACTTACCTAACGTCACTGTCACTTGCCTATAGGGGTATTATCACATGATTGTTCTAGCCTGGAATTAGGCATACCTTCCTGTTTGATTCCATACAAGGGCATTTTGTTACTAGAAGTTCCATAAGGTTCTCATTAGGAGGAATTAAAATTATATTACTTTTGAGTAAAAACTATTGTCAGATAGCGATTAGATCTTTAATAAGGAGCAAAATAAAACAAAGAGTGAATTTGTTCATGAAATGGAAACATATAATCTAATTTTAACAAAGGAGCCATAAGAATAATGAATCACTATTTCAACCTTTTATGTGCTTTTAAAATTAGAATGTCTATAATTTTAACAATTTTTCCAAGCAGCTGGTGTGAATAGAGAGTTTAAAAGTTGTTTAGGTATCTGGATCTGACAATATATAACTTACTTCTGAGATTAATGTTCTAGGGAAGAGATGGGCAAACTTTTTCTATAAAGGGTCAGATAGGCAATATTTTAGGCCTTGCAGGTCATACCATCTCTGTCACAACTACTTACCTCTTGTTGCATGAAAGCAGCAATAACAGACAATATGTAAACAGATGAGCGTGGCTGTGTTATAGTAAAACTTTACTTAAAAAAAGAGGTGATGACCAGCTTTGGCCCGTGGGCCACAATTTCTTACCCCTGTTCCTGAAGATTGAGTCCCCAAATGTGGGTCCTGGACCAGCAGCATCAGCATCACCTGGGAACTTACTAGATATAGAAATTTCTGGGCCTCACCTAAGACTTGAGCCAGAAACTCTGGAAATGGGACCCAGTAATCTGTGTTTTAACAGTCTCTGCAGTTGATTCCATTGCATTCTAGAGTTGGAGCACCTGTCCCTCCAAAATACTTCCTCTCCCTAAAACTTTTAGGCATGGTACCTTCTACAAGGGCAGAAGACAAACGATCATGGAAGATACACTAGCTGACTCTGCTCCCTGGTTATTTATTTGCTGGCCATAAAGAATCATGGGTTATTGCTTTCTGATCATGAACATGATGCAGCTGAAAAAAGATTAAAGCCTTCACCAAGGTTAAGAAAGGTAAAATTGATTCAGGAACATGCCTTCTGTGATCAGTTTAAAATATGATACATCTCCTGGAAGATTTATATCTAAAGCTACCAGCCTGTCTGACGATTTTAACTATTCAGGTTTTTTCTTTTTTTTTAAAATCATAGAAACTTATTGTGGCTTAATGGAAAGAGAGAAAGTTAATTTAAAAAGTATATTAAAATTGTTTTGACTGCTTAACAGCGCTACTTGTTTCTAAGCCAATGAGACATTAGAGACTCAACACCTATTATGACTGTAGCAAGGACTAGTTTCTCACTCTCCTAACAAGCCTCAGACAGGGGCTAGTTTGCTCAGACTTGGAAATAAGCAGCCAGATCTTAGCTGCAGATTCTCACAAGTCATCCAAACATACATTGTGTTCAAGTTCCAGTCTCCATTCATATAAACATGCCATTATCATACGAACTTCGTAGTGTCAAGGGACCTGCTATGCTCTGGCTTAACAACCAGGTCTGAACGTATTTCCGGGGAATTCAACATGGAAGAGTGGCAAAGCATTTCTAAGTATTATTATTATTATTTTTTTACATTTTGAGTCAATATATTATTAAATAGGAAAATGATAACTCTTATTAAAAGAAAATCCATACTTCTCAAATTCTATTTTTTGAACTCTAAACCTAAAGGAGGCCCTGGTGATACTGCTAACTGAAAGGTTGGCAGTTTGAACCCACCCAGAGGCTTCATAGGAGAAAGATCTGATGATCTGCTCCCATAAAGATTGCAGCCTAGGAAACCCTATGGAGCAGTTCTACTCTGTCACATGAGGTCTTGATTACTCAAAATCAACTCAATGGCACCTAACAACAAAAACAATAACAACAACCCCTGAAGTGAAGGTCAGGACACTTACCCGAATAAATCCATTTTCTGGAGGAACAGGCTGAGGACACCCTGAATCTGATTCTATCTCAGGAAGATCTACCTCTTTCATTTCTTCATCATCACTGATACATGGTTGTCCACTAAAAGGAAAAAATAAATGTGTGTGTATATATAGAGACATATTTATGTATGTACATATATGTATGCATGCAAGCATATATGTAGAAACATTTATGTATAAACATGTGTATATGTAGGTATACATACATATGTCGTGTGTTTAAATAGAGAGAAAACATTACATAGAAAGTAATAGCAGTGATCCAAAGCCCCACTAGTGTGCCGTGTTGGAATAGGTAAAATTCTAATTATTCCTTTCTCAGCCACAGGATAATAAATATCTTGACTCTCTAAGTTAGTGAGGGGAGGGGTACCCCATTCTTTCCCCTTACCCAACCTTACCTGTTTTCCATTATTGAAAATGTACAGTCTTCCTCTTGCTGCTTCTCCCCCTCACAGTGTTTCCCCCCTTGTTTGGGGGTAGGGTTATTGCATTGTCGGGTCCTTGATCTCTTATAAGTAGCATCACATGTGCTCCAGGAAGACCAGCAGCCCCAGTTCCCATTTACTGCCTCTGGAACAGAGGAAGACCCACCCATGGAGCACGGTGCATCTGAGAGTTTGGGCTTTAGACCCGGGCCAAACTGGTCCCCTTGCTTTTTAGCTAGGTGACTTCCTTTGTGGAATATCAGAACAAAATGGCAACAATTATGAATCATTTTCAACTGTCAACAAACATATATATACACATACATGCACATATATATGTTTATATGTAAACATCTTCAAATAGAATATCAAATTACATTTTCAAAGACAGTAGAATATATTCTTACTCATCACCCCCTTTCTAAGGAGTATTTGAGGTAACCATGAACATTACCTAGTCCTGTGTGAAATTTCCTTGGTTCTGACTTAATTTATCCCTTGTTACAAGACCATCCTCATTCTACATTACAATATGTAAGAGGCTTACAACTAATTTAAAAAAATGATTTCTAGTAATAACACTAATATTATTATTATTTTATTTTATTTTTTTATAATAAGGATTGCGCTATGTTTTTTTTTTTTTTTTTTAATTCTCAGGTAGATACTACTATTATCCCCATTTTATGGATGAACAAAATGAAGCATAGAAAGGTTAGGTAACTTTTCCAAGGTCACATAGCTGGTAGGTTACAGCTGAGACTTATACCAGGTTTGATTGACTTTAGGGTCTACTTTTTACAGGCTTATTTTCCTTGTGAGTTTGCACACAGTGGATGTTGCTAACAGAAGTGTTTGTATGTGTGTTTAACTGACCAACCTAGAATAGATTTCGGCAGGGAAAAGGGGCCTATCTCAGAAAAAGTTACTGGTACTTACTAGATTGAAAATCCGGAGACCGCCTCTCACAGTTCTCACCGTAGGTGCCGCTCTGGCACACACACAGACATTGGGTCCCTGAGAGCGTGGGCCGGCCGTTATTAGGACATGGCACGCACTTGCAAGGGTCAAACTTGGCTGCATATTCTCGAAAAGCTTTCCTGAGGTTGTTTCGTTTTGTCACTGCACAGGGGATATTTCTTACCAAGTCTATGATGGGAGCAAGCTAAGAGCAAAAGGTAAAGAGGAGGTAGAGTCACATCCCATTGGCAATATGTAGCCATCATTGCCTGATTCTCATAGAATGAAAGGCAAGGCCTGGAAAATTCCACACTTCAAAGGAATTATTGCAGAACATAGTATATCTGCTTGTTGAACCCAGTGGAAAAAAGTCCTCTACATGAGGGCAGGAGAATTTCTTTCCCCTCTAGAATGGATACAACAGCCGTCTGCAAAATTAGCCAGATTCTGCTGTTCCTAAGAGGTCCCTGAGTGGAGCAAATGGTTTGCTCTTGTCTACTGACTGAAAAGTTTGGTGATTCGAACCCACTCAGTGACAACATGGAAGAAA